GCACTTTACGCATCCTCTGTCTCCATTTCTCCAGCTAGAAAGTGATAACTGCTATTTTTCTCTTACACCAGAGTATTATAATGAAGTATTATAATAAGGTAAAAAAAAAATCTGAGCAAAATATTGAATTCAGAAACTCATTCCCTAAGGGAAAGGAGCAGTCTGTCCCCTGTATTCTCTGTCCAGCTTATAAAACAGTGAATGTTTGAAGATGTCTGAGTTATCGGAACAATTATAATTTAGTCTGATTGCACTTATGCTACAATTAACATAGTCAGGTAAGCTTAGCAAGGGATTGTGAGGTTTTGTTTTGCAGGGACTGTATTATGACATTTAACCCTATCCTTTCTAATGTGGGTACTTTCATAGGAATGATGAAGAATTCTGAATGAAATCACATTTTTAAAAATCCCAGTTCTTACTGAAGTAAGAGGCTGCATGCCGTACACTCTCCTGCCAAGAATCTCATGTTAAAGTGAATTTAAAAAGCACCAGGGGATGCTGGCCATGGAGCACGGTTGGCAGACTTCTTGCCCAGCATATAGGGAGTCCTGGGTTCTCTCCCCAGCACTATATAAACCAGATGTGTGAGTGCACGCCTGGACCATCTTCCAGCATTCAGGAGGTAGAAGTAGGAGGATCAGAAGTCCCAAGTCATCCTCAGCTACACAGTGTTTTCCAGGCCAGTCTGTGTGACGTCAGACCCTCTCACCTAGAAAAAGAAAAGATAGACGTGGAGGAAACTGCCAAGAGAAGTGCTGTCTAGAAGTTAGAAGCTTGGGCTCTGAGGATTACTGAGTGCCTGTCACCCTGTGACCCTGAAAAGGTGACTTCCTCTTTAGCGCCTTCCTCTAGGAAATAAAGGCTTTGGCACCTCATAGGGGTTTTTTGTTGGCTTGTTTTTTTAAAACAGGTTCAAGCAGTCCTTGATTCCTAACCTCAGCCTCGAGTACCTGGAATTAGGGTCATGGGCCTCCTCACCCGACTAAAGGGGTTTTTTAAATGATGAAATTGATACATACACGTGAAATGCTTAGTGCGGAAACTTCAATTCACAAAGTATTCAGCAAACGTTGGCCTTTTCTTTCTTTTTTTAATGAAACAAGATGGGGTGTCCCGTGAGAGACTGGGAAGCTGCTATAACGACAGCAAAAGCATGTGGTTGAGAAAGTTGAACTGTTGTGGATAGCTGGACTCCATATGGAGGTACTGTGGTCCACAGCTGAGGAATGTAGCTTGGGGGCTGGGGTGTACCTCCTGTTAATGCAGCATGTGCCAGGCTCTAGGTTGAGGCCTACCCTCACCAGGCAGCCAAAGGCAGGCAGGCATTCCCCAAAGCTCTTAGCCAGAAGCTCCAACTGCCCCACTCCCAACAAGGAGTTTGGCAGCCAACCCAGACTGAGGGCTTTCTACCATTGTGCTCTGTGCCTTGTCTTCTTATGCTCAGAAGATGTTTAACCCCTGAGGTTTGTCATAGAGTCACCTTTCAGGTGACATTTGTGGCTCCTTTAGGTTTGCTTTGCCTGAGCAGGTGAACACAGGCTGTACAGGCAAGACATTTTTTACTTAGAAAAGTGGATCTTTTATTGCTCTGTGGCTCTGTGCTAACTAACCACTTAACCTGGTTGACATAAAACAAGAATGTCAGGTGGTGGTGGCACACAGCTTTAATCCCAGCACTCAGGAGGCAGAGGCAGGCGGATCTCTGTGAGTTGGAGGCCAGCCTGGGCTACAGAGTGAGTTCCAGGACAGACTCCAAAGCTACACAGAGAACCCTGTCTCGAAAAACAAAAAGAAAAACAAAAGAAAACCAAGAGTGTCTACACTGTAGAGTCCCGTGTCTAGCGTATAGCAAATCCCTCCATATGGCTTTGTTAGAATTTTCTGATGAACCTCTGACATCTCTCTGTAACGGGTTTGCAGCCTACAAGTTAAAATGTTGATTATTCAGATACAGGGCCTATATTTGTGCAGCTTTATGTAGCTTTACTTCAACATGCTCGCCCTAGGATGGGATTGAGCCTATCCTTAGATGCTTCATTTAACTATTGCTGGGGGGTGGGGGCGGGGCTACCTGTAACTCGGTGGCATAAATCTATGTGTTTGTGCTTATGGACTGTATGAGTAAAGAGTTTGGACCAGGCTGTACAAGGATGGCTTATCTCTGTTCTGTGATGTCTGAATAGACATCGGGGCAGACTCTAGGGGTTACAGTTCTCTAGAGGCCTCCTCTTCTTCTTCTTTTGCAAGATTTATTTATGTGAGTATTCTGCCTACCTCTCTCTGTGTGTGTACCATGGATGTGCCTCAGTTCACTGAGGTATCTGATCCCCTGGAACTGGAGTTAGAGATGGTTGTGAGCCACCAGGTGGATGCTGAGAATTGAACTCAGGTCCTCTGCAAGAACAGCAAGTGCAATAAAGCCACTGAGCCATCACTCCGGCCCTTTCAGAGGCTTCTTGACTTGTGCCCAGATAGGATTACTCCAGGACATACTCGAGCCCTTGATTAGGCTGACAACTAAGCACATAATATGGCCTTTCCTTGTGTCTGTGGCTTCTTATAGAATGGTAATTGGGAGCCACCATGAAGGGTGAGCAGATGGAAGCCATATGACCTTTTGTAACCAAGGCTTGAAAGTTATATGATGTCACTTTCTATATACTCTACTTAGGAAGCCATCCTAAGACCATTCAGACTCCAGCTGTGGGGTAGACGTCATGGTACATCCCAAATGTTTTGTTTTGTTTTGTTTTTTGAGACAGAGTTTCTCTGTATAGTTTTGGTGCCTGTCCTAGATCTTACTCTGTAGACCAGGCTGGCCTTGAACTCACAGAGATCCGCCTGGCTCTGCTTCCCGAGTGCTGGGATTAAAGGCATGCACCACCACTGCCCGGCTGTAGATCCCAATTTTTATACAACAGTAGGTTCCATCTAGGTTTTTCTAAGAGTCCTTGACTCATAACAAAGTGTCTGCTTCCTTGTATCCTGAAGTGAAACTCTCCCCCACCACACATTCCTCCACATAGTATTCTTGCCAAGTTACCATGGACCAAAAAACTCTCTGAACCTTTGAATTAGCATGCAGCTGAATTTGATCCTGGCAGCCTGATGATTTATTGGTAGACAAATAGGTAGGTAGATAGATTGTACTGTTAAAGAAGTTTTTGGTTACTAAACCAAAAATATAAATGATAAGGTTGGTAATTTCTAGGAATAAATTTGGGGGATAGATAATTTGTGGTTATGGGAAACTATTCGACACATTGTAGAATGTTTAGGTGCATTCTTGGCCCCTACTATCTACTTGATAGCAGTTTCTACCAAGTTATCACAACCAAAATTGTCTCTAAACATTGCTGATAGGTTTCTGTACCCCAATACTAGAGGTATCAACAGAGTAAGCTGGATCAAGATGAATTAAAAAGTAAAAGACCAGGTTTATTTGGGCAAAGCACTCCTGGGTGACCCTCCAGCCCCCAGAGATCGAGGCAGAGGAAAGGGGCAGGAGAAAAATCACATGGCCAGTCTAAATGAAGGGACTTCAATACCCTGTAGGCGCAGAGGTGATGACGTGTCCTCACAAGTTGGGTTTGTGTCCAATTATAACGCTTTAGGCAGGGATTGTGCCGCTGGAAGCTTCAGGGAAGGAGCCCCTGCTTGGTGGTTTTTCTGAGAGGGCAGGGTTTGGAGAGGCAGGAATGAAGCTTTCTCATCTAGAAGCTCCAGCCGTATAATTGCCACATGGGACAATATAATTAGTGAGTAATCTAACTTGAGGTGTGAAATTTAAATGTACGTATTGCCTCAATGACCTTCACAGACAAAAACCCACGTCTTGGTATAGTTAGAATTCTAGCTCAGGGAATAGAATTGTAGGTTGATGTGATCACAGCTCCCCTCTAGCAAAGAGAATCACTCAATTCAAATTATTTTCATATTCTTTTCTATGTCCAGAAAAATTTCCAAGTTTTATTAGAATGATTTTTAGGAAACTTTACGAGCTTCAGTTCGTTGAGCATATCACTGAAAAAAATATTGTCTTGAAAACAAATGGAGATATTCTGATTGCCTCCATGCTCCTGCCTGTAGGCTACTAGATTGTATGAGCTGCATGACCCAAAGGGGATGATTAGTTCTTCTCCAGTGTGCTGTTAATGAATAGCTCTGCAAAACCAATTAGCCATAATTCTATCCGTCATCTCATTTGGGTAACATTTTGTTGAAGGGGAAGACAAACAACATTGTTTTCCTTGGAGATCTATAATTAAGCTGTGATATTTGATAGGAACCATGGAGGAGAAAGCAGTGTACGTACCATTTTGCTTTCCTTATTCCCCCGTGGAAGTAAATCATGACAAAGTGTTCTGTTCACATCAGTTAAGCATCTGTCCGTCTTAACGGTGTAATGGGTCACATCCAAGTACATTTCTAATTACACATTTTGTTTTATATGAGTGTCTACATTGTACCTCCCTAGAGAATGGCTTTTCACACGGAAGACAGTGAATGGTGTCCCCCCAGGGCTGTACAGAAGGCACTGGGTGTCACTTCCCTTCCTTCCTGCATTCCCGATCCCATCCATGTGACTCCAGAATCAGAAAGTCTCTCGTTCTTTTTTTCCCTATCATTATTCGCTCTCTCGGCCACAGCGCATTGTGTCGTGCTGGCGGTAATAATATCTGAAGTCCTCATTTCTTTTTTTCCATCAAGACACTTGTGGATATGCATCATTCCACTGAATTTAGACACATCAGAGGTTGGAAATACAGCTTCCTCTCTTACAGACAGAAAAGACTACTTTATGGCTGTCTAAATTTCCTACCATGATGTCTAGGTGTTTTACAACATTTGCCCATCCCACCAAGTAAAGATGATTTGGGTGTAGTAGTTTTTGTGTTCTCTAAAACTTAGTGTCTGTATCTCATGATGCAAATTAATGAGTTTATCAGGAAAGATGAAATCAATGGGTGATTTATTTTGCTCACTGTCATCCACAGCTAGCCAAAAAAATTCGTGAGAAGTTCAACCGTTACCTGGACGTGGTCAATCGCAACAAGCAAGTTGTGGAAGCGTCGTATACCGCTCACCTGACATCCCCGCTGACCGCCATCCAGGACTGCTGCACAATCCCGCCTTCCATGATGGAGTAAGACTTGAGCATTCTCTGCTTCTGCTGCTCATAGACTAAGAGCTAGATTGCTTAAACCTCCAGATCCAAAGTGCCCATGTTTGGTTATTGCGAAGTACATAGTAGCTTCCCATCTATTTAATGCAAGCCCTTAAACATCTGTGTAGTTAAACTTGTTGGCTTCTGCCCATAAATCTCCCCTATTACTTGCTTGCCTAGAGAACTTCAGTTAATGTTCTTTTGAGCTTCTTTTTTTGCCTCCCAAAGAAGTCATTATTCCCTCAGGTCTGTTTCCATAGTTACTTCATATCCCTTCCTGCACTTAATGCAGCACACCTTGGTGGTGAGCCTGCCTCACCTCCCCTGCTGCCCAGAGCAGGAATTACACCTCTTCCATGTTCACCTCTGGCACTTGGCACTTGGTTTCATCAACTGTGCATTAATGTCTGAGCTGATCTGTATTAGGGGTGAGTAAAGGGGTCTCAGCCTTCAAGAATTATCTAAGATGTTGTGGGGTTATGGGACAGATACTGACCATCAGGCAAGGCAAAATGTGACCCAGAGCCACGCTGGGATTCCCCACAGCAAAGAGACTCACTAGGCAAGTTATATCAGACATGTTCATGAAGGCACATGAGGGAAGTTATTATAGTGCCACTTAGAACAGAAACGTGTGAATATTACAAAAGTCTCCCAGAAAGGGTTTAGTTTGGAAGAGTGAATGGCATTGATGCATGTGAGATGGTGAGCTGTAGCCATGCTGTGGAAGTGACCATGCACACATACACACATGTGCATGCGTGAAAGATTTGGGCAGGTACCAGGTGGTGGTGTATGTCTTTATTCCCTGCACTTGGGAGGCAGAGGAAGTCAGATCTCTGAGTTCGAGGCCAGCCTGGTTGGCAGAGCAAGGTCCAGGACAGCCAGGTCTACACAGAGAAGCCTGTCTGGAAAAACAAAGAAAGGATCTGGGAAGGCTTCCACCCAAGTGTTCTGGCACAAGGACAGCGACTCCCATTTTGAATGTGATGATGAGGCTTCAGGTCCAAGATGCTGGGTGTCTCCTCAACAGAGCCATTGTTCTTTTCAGTCAATGTAATGAGCCAGAGAATACAGTTTCTCTTCCAGGAGCTTAGAGTCAATGGCTTAGTGCAAATGAGTGCTCCCTCGGAGATGGTGCTCCCTCAGAGATGGTTCTCTGCACCAAACACTGAAAATGCATACTACCCTAATTCAGGGTAGATGACTGAGCCAAGACATGCCATTGTGTCCAACCAGGGATAAAACTGAATAGCCAAAAGATGTACAGGGATCAAGCAGGTTTCACTAAGACTTAATAGTACATATTTTTTAAAAAAATGTAAAATGGCCAGTTCTGGAAAGGAGCTGTAAAGAGTGTAGTGGCAGGCTGGTGAGATCACTCTGTTAGAAAAAGTGCTTGTCATGAAGCCAGATGACCGGAGTTTATTCCCAGAACCCACATAAAGGTGGAAGGGACTCCATGAGATTGTCCATTTACCTCTATATGTATGCTGTGGCGTGCGTGCGCGCGCACGCGCGCGCGCGCACACACACACACACACACACACACACACTGAATGATTTAAAAACTTTAAAAAAGGAACATGATGCTCATACTCACCAACTCAGCTCTAGGAGAGCTGAGGCAGGAGGATTGTGAGTTCACAGGCAACCTGAGCCCTGGGGAGAGAAGGAAGGTAGGAGAGAGAAAATCTGTTACATTGAGTCCCCATGCGCCGCGTACACCTGAAGGTGACATTGTGACCACATGGGAAGAAAGCTGCAAAGTGGCAGAAAATTGATTTTTCAGAGGAGTCTGTTACTTCCCTTCTCAGATTAGTCAGCTCTTAAAATTCTCACTCAGGAGCCTTGGGAGTTAATGATTCTGCTTGGAGCCTTGCATAGCGATTAGGCCCTCTGTCTGTGTTTATCGAAGGGATGATCCGAAGTCTTAACATTCAATGCTTTGGAAAAACAAACAGGTTGAGGCTTAACCTAAGCCAAGCTCGTTTTCAGTGGGCCACCTTGCAGGAACAGGTATAGGGGCTCTTTTATCTCTGGGTTTGTTGATGTTTGTTTAGCCATGCCAGGGTCTAACCTATGCCCTTATACATGCTACCAACAACAGTCTTGAGAAGCAGGGTCGTCCGCGCGTGACATTCAGCAGCTCTGCTTGCGTCACAGTGACCGGTGCTAAGATACAAAGGGCTTCGGATATGGCATCGTACCCGTGGACCATATCCAACCTAGGTGCCCTTTTCCACCTCCACAGATATTTAAAATGATTTTCCCCCTTTGTATGTTTCTCAAATCATTATCAACATTAGAGTTTTATAAGATTACGCATTTTGAAAATTCAAAGGTTGGTTGGGTTTTGTTGTTGTTGCTGTTTCTTCTCGAAGAATCTGAGGACCTGGCCATAGGAAGTTCCCAGTATCCACTTGGCAGCCCCCTGCTTTCGTGAAGAGCCATTCTCCCTTTATAGATTCTCCCGTTCATCAGCCTTGCCGCTTGTTCTAACCCACTCGCTTCACTTTTATCCTGGTCGGCCCACACTGACATTCAAGTTTTCAGCTCTGGCTTTTTGAAGACTCATGCGACCTCATAGTTTTGACTCAGGAACAGGTCTTGCCCATGTGCATTCCCTGCTACACCAGCTTCAACTTCCCTTCTTATTCACTCAGGCTTTCAGGAATCAGCCATCAAATGTACTTCATTAAGCCTCTTGTCCCTGAGACCTGGCCTGAGCTGAGATGCTTTGATTGTGTGTGTCAGGAACCGCCTACCTGTTGACAAGCCCTGCTCTCCCTGGGCTTTTTATATGGCCAAATCAATAATTTTGTCTTCCACATTGTGGTGATATTTTGAACAAATAAAATTTGCCTGAAGATCAGAGGACAGAACAAGATACTCGATTAAACATAGAGGCCAGGCAGTGGTGGCACCCACCTTTAATCCTAGCACTCAGGAGGCAGAGATCCATCTGGTTTTCTGTGAGTTCAAGGCCACACTGGGCTACATGAGATTGATCCAATCTAGGAGAGAAACAGAGCCAGGCAGTGGTGGTGCACGCCTTTAATTCCAGCACTTGGGAGGCACACACCTCTAATCCCAGCACTAGGAAGGTTAAAACGGGAAGTGGTGTGGCTAGGCAAAGGCAGGAGGAGACAGGATCTCATGCTCTTTTAGGCTGAGAAGTTGGTGAGATAAGAGGCAATAGCTGTGGCTTGTTATCTTGTCTCTCTGATCTGTCAGCATTTACCCCAATATCTGGCTCTGAGTTTTTATTATAAGACCAACACCACGTTTCCCAGTGAAGTTCTTCTGTTCCCAATTCCTTTTATAGCTATTATTGCCCATCATCATTCTTAGTTTCATTTTCTGGTGTATTTTATAAGGAGGACAAAATATAAACTAGAGAGCAAACACTAAGATAAGCCTAGCCTGTTATGCCTCTTTGAATCTCCATGAGGGGAGTCGGTGCTGTTGGGGCTCACACGTCTCACGTTTGCTGATTGGCTAATCATGGTAGGAATTGGCATCATAAGGGAAGCCGTGCTTATTGTGAGTCAATAAGCAGTTTCTTTCCAGGGTATTTCATCTTGCCCCCTACAGCCGAGTGGCTTCAGCTGAAGAGATAATTCTCTCAAGCTCATTGGGAGAGACTTGAACAGCTTCACTGACTCTCAAAAGTGAAGAAACTCTTGGAAGCACTTTTAAATTGGATTCCCACTATTTTTCAGGAGCCCTTTAAGTTGGGTGCAGTCAGTGAGTCACCGGAGAAGGCAATGGGACCCATCCCATTTGTAAGCCAAATTTAGTGTATTCTCAGAAGTTATCCATGATGGCAGGAGGCAAGCCTTGCCATTCAGCTTCCTGAGGCTTTGTGCTGTAGACCAAGCAACTAGCTCGGGTTCTAATGCAAGAACCGTGGCTCTTGGTTATAGCTCTCGTTATCAGCCACTGCTACAGCCCTCTGTATCGATTAGGGGTCTGCAGAGCGGCAGAACCCACAGGGTAGGTGTGCGAGTATAGAGGTGGGAATGTGTGAGAGATCGTGATTTAATTTCAGGAATTGACAGATGTGATAATATAGGTACAAGTCCAAAGCCTGATGGGTGGGCTGGCAGGTTAGAGACCTAAAGAGGGCTACTACTGAAGTGTGGTAGGGGGATCATTTCTGCTGAAAGAGGTCAGTGTTCAAAGATCTTCATCCTGTTGAGGGAGCCCATGAGGCTTTGTGTTATGGGAAGGGATCTACCTTTCTCTGAATCCGAGCTTGAGCTGTTTGTCCTTCATAGGAAGATCCAAGGTGTTGTTTGACATTATATTGAGATACCACAGCCTGGCCACATTGATACATCCAACCAACCATGGTTCCCTTAGAGAAAAGGATACATAGCCTACCATTACCGTTAATTGTTTCTTACTAAACTGCAGATTTTGACAGGGAGTACCCATTCTTACTTTTATACCTTTCTACTGTATTCGCATAGATATTTTCTTAATGTTTAGAGCTGTCTGGAGCAGATTCCCCGCATGTACGAAGTTAGTTTTCCCACACAAAGTGGCATGACTTAGATGCGCTGTCGGTTTCTCTGACTGTTACTGGTGTCATATGAACTAGGGACAAGTGACCGGAGGGGCTCTTCTGCTGTAATGATTAGCATTCTGACTCGTAATAGTTGGTTTCTTAGAGTAGGCCCTTTAGATATTTATAGTAGATTTAGAAGACGTGATATCTGTTCTTCGTAGACTGAGCTTCAAGGCAGGGGGCTGGCTTTTACCCGAAAAGAAAAATCTTTCGCTTTGCTTGTCTAGTGTAATGCCAGGACTGAACCCCGCTCCTCACGTACTCCAGGCCTATGATGTTCTACTCCTGGGCTGTATCCTTGCCCTTGTTCAAGCTGCTCCCCTTCACCACAGAAGAAATAGCTTATGCAGTTTTGCCAGTTCTGTCCCATTAAGCTCGGCTGTGACAGATCATGCCACCGTGA